GGGTGGGGCTCTTGGCCACGGAGGTGCCCTTGTCCTCACAGCCCACCACGCGTCCCCTCTCGTGCCCTGGGTTCCCCAAGGGCCCACCTGCACGACTCGTCACAGGTGTGTACCTGCTGAGGCAGAGGCCCCGGGCGTCGGGGGCACAGGAGCCCTCGGCCACAGTGGGGGACACTCTGGCGGCCCCTCAGGCCACGGCGGAACGGGCAGGAGGCCCCGACCACAGACCCTGCACGTCCCGGGTGCGGAGCTGGGTGGTGCCCTGGTGCCCAATTCTGCCCAGAAGGCCCGGCTGCGGACGCGTGGACGTGTCCGTCTCGGGAAGGGGCTGGGGCGGTGCTGGGTCTCGGGAAGCCGGAGGAGCCAGGCGTCGGGGTCACCCCAGGGGCCCAGCAGGGGCCCAGCCGGTGGCCCGGCCGGGAGGGGCTCAGACCTTCCTCGGGGAGCCGATCATGACCTTGGACACGAAGTTGACGATGGCGCTGGCGGGCTGCTCGGGGTCGTGCTCCGCAAACAGGTGGCACACGTTGTCCGTGGCGCTGCCCTGCTTCCGGGCCACAAACCCAAAGACTCTACGGAGAGAGGCGGGGTCAGCGTCCATCTCTGTCCGGCCAGGGCCACGGTGAGCGGGCAGAGACCTGCCAGGGCCGCGCCAGGCGGACCCCTGCCCGCCCCGCTGCGCCTTCGCGAACCCTGCGGCAGGAGGCTGCCGCCGCCTCTGCAGTGAGGGCCTCGAGGGTGGGAGCAGGGCAGGGCCGCCCGCCCGGGCCGGGACCTGGGTCACAGCGGCTGCTTGGCGCCCGGCCGCTGTCCTGAGCCCCGAGCCCCTCGGGCGTCACACGCCGGGAGCACGGGCCACGCGGGGGCCAACACCAGCGACCGTCCTCGCCACCGACACGCCGACCCCACCCCGTCCCTCCCGGGTCCCACACCCGCGTCACACTGCACGCCCCTCGGGGCCCGGGCATGGGGAGGCCCCTCAGATCTGCAGCCTCCGGCCAGCCCAGCGCGGCGCTCACTGTCCGGCCCGGCCCTTCTCCTTCTTAGGAGAATGAAGGGGTTTTGAGTCCAGCTGTCCCCACCCGGGAGGGAGCGGCCCAGGGCACGCAGGTCACCCGACGGCTTGCACATACCCCCGCCCCCCTGAACCCCTGGAGCACAGTCAGCCGCCGCCAGGGCCTGGGGCTCGGCCCCACCCAGACCCGGGGACCCCGCAGGCCTCCGGGAACTTGGTCAGACCCTGAAACAAGGGGGACCGTGAAGCAGGAATCCTAGGGCGGGGGGTGGGGACAGCCCCCTGCGGGCGTGCAGGGCCCCACGCTGCCCGCCCCCGAGTGAGGCATGAACTCGGTCCCCTGAACCTGTGGACACCGGGCACCGCATCTCCGTCACCCCCAGCTCCGCCTGCTCACGCCGCCCTCGACGCCAGCCAGCACCTGCCCGAGCGCCCGCCCGAGCCCTGGCCCCCTGCAGCCACTTCCTCCCAGGGACCCGCTCGGAGGGAAGAAGTCGGGGCGCTCACCTGCACGCCTGGCTGTCCGCGACCCACCTGCCAGGTTAGAGAGAACAGTTACGTCAGCGTCTGTGCGGGCTGGGGCGCGGGCGCACGCACACACGCAGGGCACCCCGCTCTTACTTCCTGTCCTGCGGGTCCAGCGCGCAGAAGATGACGCTGCTCACGGGGTAGTGCCTCCGGAAGAAGAGCCTGCGGTGGGGGGAGGGTGAGTCGCTGGCGGGCCCGGGGGACATGGCCGGCCCCAGTGTGTGAGCGGGCAGGGGGTTGGGGGCACAGGCAGGAACTGTCCCTGGGGACCCGCCCACGGCGCCCCGATGGCAGATGCGCTGGCACGTGGTGAACCGTAAAGGGGTTGTGCACGCTGGAGCCCCCGGAAGCCCGTGAGCGCCGGGCCTGCCGGGCTCTGGCGGAACCACGACGACCCCCCTGCCCTGGCCTGGGGTCCTGCACCCGCACATCCTCCAGGTCCTGGGCCCCAGCCCCTCGTCCAGGGACGACAGGGGGGCGCGGACGGAGCGCTGGCTGTTCTGGGATGGGAAGCTCTCCCTGGGGTGACCCGGCACGGCCAGGGGAGGCCTGAGGGGTGCGCCCGGGTGTGAACAGAGCCCGCCCGCCCTGCCCCAACTCACTTCCTCTGGTTGTCCGTCAGGGTGATGCCCTGGGCCGACACCTTGAAGTGCACGACCGTCGACAGGGGTGGCGGCTGCTGGGCCAGGGTGGCGCTCAGGGCCTTCTGCACGGCCTGGGGGCCGGTGAGCGACTCCATCTCCAGGGAACCCAGGTACCACACGTTGCAGGCTGCGGACGGGACACGGGTCAGCGCGTCGGACACGGGCCGGCGCCGGGTGCCTGGGGCTCAGGACCACTCGACCCGTGGCCGTGCCAGGTGCCCGAAGGCTGCCCTTGCCCGATTCCGAGGCGCGGAGAGCGAGTGACCGGACGCACACGGTGCCCCGGCCGACGGGGAATGAACTGCTCTGTGTGCCTGGCGTCCCCGGGGCCGGGGCACCTCCTGGCGTCACGGTGGCCCGGGCAGGCTGGACAGGAGCCCGGCCACACGGAGTGAAGGACACGCCCGAGAGGGGGGCGTGCAGCCGGCACCCCCTCACGGCCCCGCTGGAGCCCCATGTTCCCGCCTCATCTGTCTGTCTTGTCAGCATGACGGCATCCGGACAGAAACTCTGGCCTCTCGGTGTGTTTTGGACCAATCGCTGTGTCTCTCTCTCCCCCTCTCTTCTATTCTCTCTAAAAATGAATGGGAAAAATGTCCTCACTCCTTGGTGAGGATTTAACTAACTCCCTTGCCCTGGCCGGTTTGGCTCCGTGGATAGAGCCTGTAGACTGAAGGGTTCCGGGTTCGATTCCAGTCAAGGGCACAGGCCTGGGTGGTGGGCTCGTCCCCAGCAGGGGGCGTGCAGGAGGCAGCCGGTCCATGATTCTCTCTCATCATCCATGTCTCTCTCTCTCTCTTCCTTCCTCTGAAATCAGTAAAAGTATTAAAACCAACCCCGGCAAGTTCCTTTGTAGACACAGAGACACTGACTCTGAAGTTCACAGGGAGGCCACGCTGTACGGGAGGGAGAGCTGGAGACCTGGCGCCGCTGCAGCCACCACAGAGCTGCAGCCTCAGGCCCCGTGGTGTCGATGCAGGACAGACAGACCCACGGACAGACCCCCAGCAGAACAGACAGACCCACGGCAGGACAGACAGGCCCACGGCAGGACAGACAGACCCACGGACAGAGAGACCCATGGACAGACCCACAGCAGAACAGACAGGCCCACGGCAGGACACACAGGCCCACGGCAAACAGAGCTGGACCTGGACCCCACACCAGCCCCGACCCTCGACAAAGGGGTGGAGGCAGCCAGCAGAGGAAAGATGGTCTTTCCAGCCGGCGCTGCTGGGACCGCGGGCGTCCACGATTCTCTCTCATCGTGGATGTTCTTCTCTCTCTCCTCCCCCTTCCCCTCTGAAACCAATAAAAACATAAAAACCCAAACACTGCACGATTCCACCGTGTGAGCCCTGGGGCAGGCAGAGCCGCGGGGCAGTGACGGACGGTGGCCGGGGCTGGGAGGACGGGCCGCGGGAGGCTGAGCCTGTCAGCGTGCACCTGACCCACCCCCTCGACGCCACCGAGAGGCCCTCACGGAATCCGTGCACCTGGTGGTGACGACGCGTCGGTGCAGGTTCCTCAGCCGCGAGGACTGTGCCACCCGGTGGGGGTGTTTACAGCCGGGGTGGGGGGGGTGGGGGCTGTGCAGGGGGAGGGCTCTATGGGAACCCTGTGGCTTCTGCTCCATTTTGCTGTAACCCTAACACTGCTCTATAAAAATAAAGTCTAAGAATAGGAAAAAGGGCTCTGGGGAGGCTGCCGGGTGGGGGGTGTCGCCCTGGGGTGCGGGTGGGTGGGGGCAGCGTTGGCTTATTCAGTGGCATCCAGAAGGGCAGGTCCCCCCCTCCTGTCTCATGGCATTTCCCCCAAGCTCAGCACAGACGTGGCACGTACCCACCGAGCTGGGCCACGTCGGAGTCCCGGCATGTTTCTAGCCCTGGAGCCGCCTTCCAGCCACGATGTGGAAGGAACCGTCGGGCATGCAGAGGAGAGGAGCCCCAGACACCAGAGGGGACCCCAAACCCCGCCGCCGCCCGACCGGGGGAGGAGCGAGACCCACCTGCGCCCTGCTTCAGCAGCTCGGCCGCGGAGTTGGCCGCCGTCTGGGGTGGGCTGTCTGGTGCCTCCTCCAGCGGGTCTGCGGGAAGGGGCGAGACACCGTGGCGCTGAGATGCTGAGCCAGGAGCGATCTTCCGACAACCCGAGACCCCGACCCAGTGCCCGGACGGCCTGCCTGGCGGTCAGGAGCTTCTCCTGGCGACGCCGTCCAGCCGAGGCCCGCCCCCCGAGCTGAGAAAAGCCGGGGACCCGGCCAGCAGGGGGCTTCCTGGCTCTGAACCTCAGAATGTATTCATAGCAGCGATTTTCAGCCTTTTCATTTCAGGCACATAAAGTAAGGACTAAAATTCTGTGGCTCAGCAAGAAATAGGTATTTTGCCGCCTTGTCAAGAGCAATAGGTGTGACTTCGCTCCTTCACACGGACGGCTGTCGTTGGTGGCTGTGCCAGTCATTGGACAGCCTCGGGGAGAAGAGGCGGGGCCGGGCCACAGGCAGGTGCCGTGTGCGCCATGACCTCGCAGCACCGGCGGGAAACCGTGGGCCTAAATCCATCTATATAAAAGCTAAGCGACCTTCCAACTGTTAGACCAGTGATTCCCAAAGTGGGCGCTACCGCCCCCTGGTGGGCGCTGCAGTGATCCAGGGGGGCGGTGATGGCCACAGGTGCATTTGTTTTAACTTTTTTTGTATTACCTTTCTATTCTGAGTTCAATAAATAGTTTCATAATTTCAAACTTCAATGTTTCTAATTTACACCTTTCTTTACTATATTTTATGAAAAAGGTAGAAACATTAATACATATATCTTTCTGTTTAATTGCTATTAAAATTAAAAAAAAATTAATTTCCAGGGGGCACTGAGTAATATTTTTTCTGGAAAGGGGGCGGTAGGCCAAATAAGTTTGGGAACCACTGTGTTAGACCGTCTGACCGGTAGCTATGACGCACACTGACCACCAGGGGGCAGGCGCTCAACGCAGGAGCTGCCGAGCTGCGGTGACTTGGCAGCTGTGGTTCTCGGGTGATGCACTGGAACCAGAGAGGAGGGAACTTGATTCCGGGGTGCGTCACCCGAGAACCGCCCTCTCGCAATCCGGGACCCCTCGGTGGGGGGGGGGGGGAGGGGTGTCGGAGAGCCGGTTTCGGCCCGATCCCCGCAGGCCGGGCCGAGGGACCCACCTGAACACGACTCCGGGCACCGGCCTCTATTGAGTTATACAAGGTAAACGACATTGACCTGGGCTGTGAATTCCTCGTCTTCACGGAAGAGAATAAAGTACCGTGACTGGCGCTGGGACATGGGGTTGGACACGCGTGGGCGTGTGCACTGCTGCCTGTTACCATAGCTGTTCTCACACCCACGAAGGGAGCGCGCACCCGCCCCGCGCCCTGAGCCCGCAGTGCCCACGCTCCACTGGTTGTGGGATCACAGGTGAGGTCAGCGGCTCGAAGGGCGGCCCCCGCATTTGCAGGTCTGAGCCGGAGCCTTTGCTGCAGGAGCCTTTGCTGCAGGAGCCTCCCGCGAGGCCTGGTGTCACGGCCCGGCTGGCGTGGGCGCAGCGGGGCCACCTGTCCTGTCCCTGACCTGGTCAGCCACTCAGCCTTCTCTAGGGCTCAGACCGGAGGGCAGGTGGGAAAAACCTCTGCCCGGCTCTCCCCGGGCCTTTGTGGGTCCTGACCCCACGTGGCTGACCTGCAGGCGATGCCCCCAGCCGCCCCCCTCCCCCACGTACCTCTGTCGGGGATGAGCAGCTTGCAGGGCAGCGCCAGGGGCGTGATGGAGTGCTGGCACACCAGGGCCGTCAGGCTCCCTGCGGGGGGCCAGGCAAGGTCAGCGGGGCCCCGACAGGCACCGCCCGCCATCTGCCCGCCCAGGGGAGCCCACAGCCAACGCGCTGCCTCGTGGGCGGACTTTGTGCACAACGTCAGCGAACAGGGAGGGGAGGTGCGAGGGGCGAGGGTTCGCGGCAGACACGCGTCCTCACGCTTCGTAAGAGTAAGCCTCTGTCCGCGAGTCAGGGGGCGGCGACCTTCCCGCGTCTCTGAGGGCCGCGGGAGAGCACCCAGGCCTCGCCCAGCGCCCAGGGCCACCCCACAGGCCTGCGGGGTCGGGCTGCCCGCACAGAGGACCCGTCTCTGCTGCCCCGCGGTTCCGGCCGACCGGCTCTGAATTTGCTGGGCGTGGAGCAGGCTTTCCAGGGCCATTTCGCACTCGGTTCACTCGGGCGGGCGTGGGGGAGAGGGGCCTGGGAAGCGGGGACTAAAGGAGACGCTGAGAGGGATGCTCCCGGGAGTGAAGGCCCCGCTCGGGCCGGTCCGGCCGCACCCGCACTCACCAAAGTAGGGCTCGTTGGAGCAGCCCTTGAGCCGCACGCCCCTCGGGGTGCACTCGACCAGGAAGTGCCGGACCAGCTCGTTGGCCAAGTCACCGGCTGTGGAGGAGGGTTAACAGAAAGGAAGAGCGTTTAGAACTGAGCGGGAGGGCGGGAGAGGGCAGCAGTCAGAGGGAGGACAGTTGTCAGAGGGAGGAGGTGGTGGTCAGAGGGAGGAGGCGGTGGTCAGAGGGAGGAGGTGGTGGTCAGAGGGAGGAGGCGGCGGTCAGAGGGAGGAGGCGGCGGTCAGAGGGAGGAGGCGGTGGTCAGAGGCAGTGGTCAGAGGGAGGAGGTGGTGGTCAGAGGGAGGAGGCGGCGGTCAGAGGGAGGAGGCGGCGGTCACGGTCAGAGCAAGGAGAGCGGTCAGAGCAAGGAGCTGCCGGGAGGCCGCTCTGTGGCACATGCACACACATGCGGACGCAGCCATCTCGATCCCCTGAGCAGGAGGCACACACATGCGGACGCAGCCATCTCGATCCCCTGAGCAGGAGGCAGGTGCTGTCCTCGCCTGAGAAGGACAAGGTTACACCTGCAGCCTCCAGGCCATGAGTCCTGGGGCAGGGCAGCGCCGTGCACACAGTGTGCCCTTTATGTAAGGAAACGGGGCGCGGGCCGCCTGCTGGGGAGACATCCCCGCCGGGACGGAGGGGAGCGCCTGGCGGGGACCTGGGACAACCATCGGATCCCTGGACAGGGGGAGGGCCACCCGTTCACTAAGGAAGTAAAACTTACAAAGAATTAAGCTCCTTTCGCACGAGGAAACGTGCTTAACAAAATGCACCGGAGAAGACAAACGCTAAGAAGACACCTGTGAGCACCGCGTCCCGAGGGCAGGCACGGAACCAGGATGTGGGGGGGGGCGGCACCCACCTTTCTTGTTCAGCTGCAGGACGGAGGGTGGGGGCGTGGCCACCTTCATGGCCAGGCCGTAGGCGCCTCGGAAGGAGTGGCTGTCCCGGACGACGAAGGACCCGGGCTCCTTGTCCCTCAGCATGGCGATGGCTGGGGGGAGGGGGGGAGGGGGGGTGAGGGTCTGGGGGCGCACGTGCTTCCCCGTGATGCCCCCCGAAGGCCCTCTTCTCCTCTTGCCGCTGGGCCAGGGGGTGAGGGCCAGCTCCCCGCTCCGGGAGGTCTCCGGATGACCCGCGAGGACGCAGACGCGAAAGGCGGCCCCTCCCTCTGGGTCACAGACCCCTGTCCAGTAGCCACCAGCAGCCGCGAGGCCCACACGCAGCCCCACCTGGCAGCCAGGGCCCAGCGCGCACAGCCTGGGGCGCGAGGGGGGAAGGGGGGGAGGGGGCACCAGCTTCCCACAGAAGGAAAGAGGTTTCCATCACATAGACCTGCCCTGGGGTGTGACTCAGGGTTCCATAGTTGATACAAATTCCAAGACAGGCCCGAGGGGCTGGCTGTGCGCCGCCTGGACGCTGGGAAGTCCTCCCAGGACCAGCACCGACTCGGCCGACAGCGGAGCTGGCACGTCTGGGCTCCGTCTTTCCTGGGTGACGGGGGCGTTTAGCTCGTAACTGTTCCCTAAAAATACCCCCTCCCTGCTGGGGCCTGGCACCCGGTCCTCTGCTCACGGTGGAGGAAGAGGGGTGCGTTGGGGTGACAGCAACCTCAGGGTGACGCTGCCCACACACAGCCAGAGTTTCTCTAGTAACAATTCTTAGAGTTTCTTCTATAGGGTTTAGTATTTACAAAAAATAAAAAAAATAAAAGAGAGAAGAAAAAAACTAGGGATTTCAAGCATAAATACAAATTCCAGCCCCGAAGACGAGCCCCTCCTCTGGGCAAAGGACAGACTAGTGAGGGGCAGGAAATGGTGTCAGTGTCCGTCCGAGGCCGCCCCCTCCCCCACAGGCGCCGTCGGGGCCCAGAGCAGCCGCGGGACAGCTGTGTCCCATCCGCTTCCTGCGGCCGCTCCCTCCTGAGCTGTTTACGTTCATCTCAGAGGCACCCAGGGAGCACGTCCCCGTCACACGGGGCCCACTGGGCTCCCCACGGCGGGCGGCCCCTCCTGCCTCTTCCTGAAGCTCCCCTGCAGCTCCGATCGGAAAGGCGCACCCCGACCCTAAAGACAAAGCAGCCCACAGCGCTCGGCCCCAGGGGTGGCACACCCCACCCCGTGGGCGCCGTCGGACGGCCTCCTTATAAACGTCTAGAAACGATGTGAGTTCAGCTCTAACATCACCAGGCGCACGGCAGCGGCTCTGAGATGAGCTCCACCCAAAGGGGCCTGGCTGTGCGGCGGAGACTCGACGACAGGCGGTGCCCCCCCCGCCCCCGCGTCCTGCCCTGTCCTCCTGCAGCGTCCCGCCCCATCCCCACCCCAAGACCAGGGAGTCACCTGCCCGCGGCCACGCCCGCCTGCTTCCTGGGGAGCCCTGGTTTTCCGTCAGAGGAGGGGCGGCCCTGCCAGCCCTGCCCCTGGTCTAGAAGGCTGCTCTGGTGGAAGATGGGCCCACATGGAATATTCTAGAACACGGTGCCCAACAGCACTTGTGGTCAGCGTCTGTCCAGCGGCCGAGGGCCGAGGCGCCGGAGCTGACGGCCACAATCGTGGGGATTCTTGCGACCAGAGCAGGTGGCGGGGTCGGGATGGAGCCCTGACCGTGGTGCCGGCTGGACCACGAAGGCCAGCGCAGGGCGCGAGGGGTCTGGGCCGCGGGCTCCCAGGAGGAGGACAACAGGGTCACTGACTCGGAGAGAAGCCGCTCTCTCCATCGCTGTCTGCTGACGGACAGGGCTGTCTGCAGCCACTCAGCTCCTTGGTCCCGGCGGCTCCGGGAAACCCGAGGCTGAGGCCCCGGCATAGCGGCCTGGCCGCCGGGGGCCGCCCCTTGCCGAGCGAAGCCCGACCCCCCTCTCAGCCGCCACCAGGAAGCCGCGAGGGAACGTTGTTCCCGGTGTAGGAGGCTTCTCCGGAATCTGGGCCGGTCACATGCCCTCCTTGTTGGAACCACTGGATTACGCCAATTGAGAGAGACTCAACCACCAAGGAAAATTTTATTCCTAGCGAAATAAACGCAATAGAAAAAGCGAGATATCCTTGCTAAGTGTGATCCACAAGAAGGAACAGTCAACATGTAAGGGCCAAATCGGCTTAGGCTGATATCG